GGATCTCTTGAACGCAATGGCCAATCAGAGGCGTTTAATTTAATCAGAATCCACTCACCGCTCAAAACACCGTAATTTTTGTTCAGAGTTCTGTACGCTCGCGAATCATCTCATTAACAAACAAAGACACAAGTAAGAGATTCATTATGCAGTGTACACACATCTTTATTGATTTTAATGGAACTCTGTAACGTTAGCAGTCTTTGCACGCTTTCGAGGCTATATATAATCCATGAATAAAAGTTTTGTTTTTCATGCTGCCGGCTGCAAAATTTAATTTATCTACACATAAATGAGTGATTCACTCTCGAAATTGCAACTGACATAGTGATAACTAGCATGGGACAAAATAGATGCGCGCAATGCAGACTAATTGATCAATAGAAAAATATTCATATCAATATATTTTTGATATTCAGTTATTTGTAAAAGTAATGACTTAAATAATCTTAAATGTCTCACTGTAGTCGGTGCCGATAGCCTCGTGGGCAAGTGTGCCGACATGTAGCGCCGTTGTGCTTCGGGCAACCCGAGTTCAAGTCCCGGCTCGTGGACCTTTCCCAATCCCGTCCCCCCCGCTCTCTCCCCCACCTCACTTCCTGTCTAGCTACTATCCTATCCTAATAAAAGACAAAAACGGCCCAAAAAAATCTCTTTTGGTAGAGCCGTTGCTTACATATTGCATCTGCACTTTACTAGAGAACCCTCACCCATTTCAGATTCCAAACCCGTAAGACTTACGTTCATCTTTGGGACACATATGAAGATATTTATAATATCTTGGTTCCCTCCATTGACAGCTACGCAACTACCACTTTGATGCTTCAAAAAGTTAATAAAGAGATCGTAAAACTAATCCACATGAATTAAGCGGTTTAGTTTCAAATTCTCTGAAGAGATTTGATCGCTTTATGATGAACAGATTCAATTCTTTTTAAATTAATCATCAACTCACACATCAGTTTAGGTAGATGAGAATGAACGAAAGTCTTGCGGGTTTGGAACAACATGAGGGTGAGTAAATGATGACAGAATTTTCGTTTTTGTGTGAACTATCCCTTTAAGCTATAAAGTTCAGGTAAATGTTGAAATGTCCATCTGACTAGTACATGACTCTGCAAATCCATTAAAATTATTTACAACAACTGTGAACGATTAATGAATAGTGATTTTGTTATGATGCATAAATCAAAATTTTCTTTTTTTCTATTAATATGGATGCTTAATATGTAACTCTTTTTGACACTTTTTGTATCGGGGGTCCCTGCCCTGAAAAACATTAAAGAAATATAATTTTTGAATATTTCAAAAACAGATATGGCTTTAAAGACCTTTTGTGCCATTTTGTATGTATTTTAGATTTAAAGCTAAAACACTAATGTGCTAGTGTACTTCCACAAGACATTAAATATGTAATTTAACTTTTAGCAGAAACATACTCCAAATTTACAACCAGGAACACAGACTAAGAATAATAGTCAGTCATCTTGCACTCATTTTTAGATCTTATAGATATTTCTGTACAATCAAATGCAAGAATGCGAACGTTCCTCTCCCTAACACTACCTTTAGATGTTACCTAAAATAGGAGAACCAATACAAGGGGTGCATCTGAAAGAAGTACATCCGAATTCACCCATAAAAGAGTAGGCAAAAAGGACCCAGAATACGACGAGCGAGATTCTGAAGTGCGCATTCGGTGGATTTGTGAATGGCAGGGAAGCCACGTAACTGACGCTGGTAGGTCACATGATAATGACAACATGGCGAATGTAGTATGTCCGGATTGCATCCATACACACACTCATACTAAAAGTTGATGCCGCTAAAATTTAGGCCGGAAAGTTGATGTCACATGATCAGCTGAATAGTACTTTCTTTATCTTGATAATCCTTCCATTACTGGACAATGAGGTATGTCTACAGTGGCATATTGGTAACCCACTTTGTTTGCTGCATCAACACCAGTAAGTGTCACTTTAAAATCCCAAACTGAAAAATAGATTTTATTATTGGAATATGTTTTACACAAAAACAACTATTTCAGTCATTCTACTGAATTTCACATTTAATTCAATGTGATATATTTGTGAAATTGTGTGAGTGAATCCTTCACCAAATTTGCTTCAGTGTATGATATCGGGTAGTGCAAAATAAACAAAAATATTTCCCCTTTTTGTTTAGGTTGCACAGGATCATACAGCACAGCAGTCATCTTGGACTTATACTGACACCTAGTGGCATGGAGGATCATTTGCATGTAGCATCTTGCAAAAAAAAACCCAAAAAACTTTCAAATATGGATGCAATTGAAGTAATGCTATTTGCAGTCAGCCATTGTTCATTTATTCTGTAAGAAAAGTGTCCAATAACATGTCATCTTTATTTTACAACCTTTTTTCATATTTTGTTAAGCGCAAAACTGTTCACACCATGAAAATGATTGAGTGTATTTTTAAAGGGATAGTTGACGCAAAAAATAACAATTCTGTCATCATTTACTCACTCTCATGTAATTTTAAACCTGCATGACTTTCTTTCTTGTGTAACACAAACGATTTTTAAAAATTAAATGAAAAATTAAGAATGTTGACAATCAAGTAGTTTTGGTCACCATTGACTTTAGACAAAAAAACAAAAACATTTTAATCAAAATATCTTGTGTTAAGTTTTACAGGTTTGGAATGGGTTAGGGTTAAGCTAATAACATAATTTCTAAAAGTTATTTCTATATGATAAAATAAATGTCAAAGATGAACATATACATTTACTTAAAAACACATTAAAATTTTTTAGGGGTTTTTTTGGACTGAAAATGCTAACATTAATATTAATATTCATGCACATTTAACACTCCAAAACATGAGGTGATAGCTCAAAGTCCAGAGAAGTCTGATGGGTAATCTGGACCAATCAGGAATTTGTGAAACAAGATAAGATTTTTTGAACAGGGAAGGAATATTCACACAGAGTTCCACAGATTTAATATAAAGAAAACAAGACTAATAGCATGCATACCAGTATCATTATTTAGCCATGGCGGTAACTGAGGAACCAAACGCACTCAAATTTAAAGCCTGCTTCTCTTACCCTGAAACATAAACAGCAATCTGTGCTGGAAACTCCACGTATGGCCATTTTGGAAGCTTATCCTCCTGTTATTGTTGTTCACAGAGACCTAGTCTTTGAGAATGAAGCGGAACGTGGCGCGTCAAAGGTGACAGTCTTCACAGGCTGACACTGAGTGATGGCCATAGCACTCACCTTCCTGGAACCGCTATCACCTTACACATCCACATCAAGTCAGAGACCAAGCCTCACGCTTGACTTCCTCCAACAAACAACCTAAGAGCCACCGACACAAGAAAGAGCCCCATCTCCTGTTTCAGAGGGTCATCTTCATGACAGACTGATGTAGCACCTTTCATCAGGGCGACACTGGACTTTGGGGAAAACATTGACTGCTCTCATTTCTCATCACTGTGATTTATTTTCTTCGGTGGAAAAAGTATGAGCTCTATCTCTCTTGCTAAATATCTAAACCTAAGTATTAAACGTTGATGCATAATTCTGTAAGCAACCCACCAGAACACTACAGTAACCATCTAGCAATGCTGTAGAAACCACTTTAAACAGAACACCCTAGCATCAGTTAAACAACATTTGCATGAGCAACTACTTCGGACTTAACAAGGTAAATGTTGAACAACATAAAAAAAAGAAGATGGAATTCAGCTCCTAAGTTTCATTAGTCTCCTTAAAACTCAAGAAGAACCATTTGGTAATGGCAACAGAGCAGAGTATCATGATATTGATCTTTATAGTTTGTGAATAACTTGCTTTGAGCTCGAACAATTTCTAAATAAAATTAAAAAAAACATGTTGGACTCAGACACACTAAAGAATTTAAACTTTATGTTTCTGTAATTTAGAAAGGTTTACCAGGGAATTAGAAAAGTTTTTTTGATAAGGCAAGCTTTTTTGATAAAGCTTTTTGAATTATTGTTTCTCAGAGAGAGAGAGAGAGAGCAGTATATCAGGAACTGTCTGTGGCAGTTTACTTTCAAAACAACAATCGAAGTACTAGAATCCTGACAGAGACTGAATTATTTAAAAAATAAACATTTATGGATAGATGACAAATAACATACCAGATGTTAGCGGGAAGGAATATATTGCAGGTTTTGTTACTTGTCATCATATTTTCAATTACATTTTCACAATTTTTTAGCAGTTTGCTGCTTGCATTAAAATGTGTTTTAACATTTTTTTGTAATGAAGTGCAAATATTCCAAAAATGTGGTCATAATACTGCATATATAATAATTATAGAAAAATAAGATTGAAAATTAAGAATTTTCTTAAAGAAATTAATACTTTTATACAGCAAGGATGCATTGATCAAAATTGAAAGTAACAAAATAGTTACAAAATTGTTATATTTTAATTAAATGCTGTTCTTTTGAACTTTATATTCGTATATTTCTGAAGCAAGAAAAACATATTGCGGTTTCCACAGTTTCTGAAGGATCATGTGACACTGAAAGACTGGACTAATGGCTGCAACATTTTTTAGCTTTGTCTTCACAGGAATGCACATACAATATTTCACAGTATTAATGTTTTTCTGTTTTTTTTTTTTTAAATTAAATAAATGCAGCCTTGGTGAGCATAAGATCCTTTTTTCAAAAACATAATCAAACATTTTAAAGGTAGGCTAGTATAGGCGATAAGGAGATTCATAGCATGTCACACCACATGACACTGCTGTCACTGCTTCTACCCATACAGATGTTTACTTCTAAGAAACATTTTAAAAACAAAACAAAGCGGGAATGCAGCCAACATGAGAATCTATAAGAGAAGTCGTCATCGAAGAAAGGGCAAAAGCAACCAAAGAAATGTAAAAGTTCTGCGTGCATTTTGAAATGAAGATCGCCAGTTAGTGTGGGAAAAGCATGTGTGCATAAAGAAACACGTGAGACAGTTGCTCTACTCACCGTCCAGGTGGCTGACTTGGCGGTGCTAGACTGCTGGAAGGTGACCTCGAAGTTGTGCGGCCCAGGGTAGTCAGTGTTGGAGGGGATGGCCGGGGCTGGAGACATGGCCTCGAAGGTTGAGTTTGGCTGAGAGTAGGGTGACGGCGTTGGCACGTTGGAGGTGGTCTCTGAGCTGTAGGGACTGGTAGACGCTGGTCTGTTCCCCAAACCTTGTTCCATACTGCTGCTCAGTAGGCTGTACTGAGACTGAGTGAAAAGGCAGAAAGTGAAGGAGGGTGAGACAGGTAAGAGAGTGGGAGGGAGACAGGTGAAGGAGGTAGGCAAAAAAAAAGTTGATATTGAAGGAAAGAGGGAGGAGATAAGACTCCATCCACTCCACTTCTACAGCTCCAGTTACACCGTGTTGGGACGTACGAGAGGGAGCCATGCCTCCAGGAAAAGGGTAGGTTGTAAAACACAACCTTAATCTGTCCAATGTCTAATTGCCTGCCATTCTCTTCTCTAACTTACAAACACAAAACCCACCACTCATAAATTATGTGTCCATGTGTTGGGCTAGTAGTACCTCAACAGGTGTGATAAAAGTAAAGCTCAGCTGGACAAATTTGGTCACAAATGATGTATTCACTTGCTTTTGAAGAGTTCAAAGTCCCCAAACCTTTTCTCTTTTTTTCATTTAATTCCACGCATTTTTAATATTTCAAGCTTTATAAATATGAACATTGCTATTACTCATAGGGTTAGTGAATCATCCCATACCATTTGTGTGACATTTCAAATTGTGCAGTTTGTTGAAGAAAGGTGTGTTATTATTTTTCTAAGTGATCAGACTTTCGATTTCATCTGGCGGACTATAAAATGTGGGGGAAAAAACTCATAGACTTGGAAGCTAAAAATTATAATATCAAAGACACTTTGGGTGGGATCTTTTGACTTGGGCCAGTGAGGACCCACCAAAAAACAACCCAAAACAACTTAGAAACACCCTAGCAACCAGCCAGAACACTCTATCCACCATATAGCAATATCCAAGAAACCACCAACACTCTACCATCATTGCAGAGGTTTTCGCGGACAAGCACCACTTGCGTTTTCCACAGAAATCCAATGTAAAAATCTAAATTACGCTATAATTACATAAATATGATATAAAAATTATCTTCAAAACCTCAAAAAAAAAAATGAAAATGCTGCCATTATAACTTGACTCATGCAGAGCATGATTATATCAGGACCCATGCAGTCTTGATATAATGACTCAAAGTTCGGGAAAAAAGCATGATGGGTAATGATTCCCACAAAACCTCTAGACCAATCAGAGACCTGTGAAATTAGATAACCAAACTGCAACACAAGTCAAGCAAAGGGAAAAGACTTTACCTTCTTTTTTCAGATAATACATTGTCCAAACCAACAGAATCACATATCCTCTGCTGTCAAACGGCACACCGATGAATCCATAGAAACCATAGTGAGTAAAACACTCATCTCTCTCACTCAACTCAACCTGAGACTTTATCACCTGTTCTCTCTCTCTCCTCAAGAAATCTCCTCTATGGAGTCATGATCCTTGTGGGACGTGGTGAATGAGAGCAGGTGGAGTCCAAAGGGACGGAGGTCAGAAACCACATATTGTCCTAATTATGGCATATCGGACAACGCCTGCACAAGAATATACTTGCCGGTATACACTTTCTCAAGACTCTGCCTGTGTGAAAAACACCATTCAAGCATGCACATGAGAAAAGGGAACAAGAGAAATGAAAAGCGAATGGTTCAAAGGTAGAGAGATGAGTTTTCATGCATGCAATTAATTGAAAACTAGAACCAAGTCATGCTTCCTGTGCAAAACTCACCAATAAAAATCCTAGGGTGTTGCCAGGATGTCGCTAAGTGGTTGCTAGGGTGTTCTGGGTCATTATTTACTGGCCCAAGCCAAAAAGCTCAGTCCAAAGATTTATATCCCTCCTTCAATGTAAGCCAATGGGACATTTCAAACTGTTTTATCATCCTCCAGGAGGCAACTGTATCTGACCACTACAAGCCGCATCTCTCCTCAACAAGTAGCAAGATTTGAGGAATTATACATGCTTGTAGCACAAAAGGTGCAGTTACATGCTTAAGTTTAAAACTTTAAGGTTTGTTCAAATCCATAACCCTAAGTATGTTCAGCAGTAATTGTGATACTTGCTTTAGCATGTACCTACAGTATATCCTATACATCCTAGTTTTTTTTTATTTCGTTTTTGGCTCAAATATAGGGGGCTTTCCATAAGGATCTCTTAAAATGAACAAGAAAATGTGAGAAACGCTGTTTCAGAGTAAACCACACATACACACACATACTCAGGTGTGCCTCATCAGTAAGTCTCAACATGTTCTGTGGCAAGTTGAAACAGAACAGAAGCATTGTTGTGTGTGTGCGTGTTTGTGCGTGTGTGTGTGTGTGTGAATGAGAGAGAGAGAGAGAGAGAGAGAGAGAGAGAGAGAGAGAGAGAGAGAGAGAGAGAGAGAGAGACATGTGCTGTGTGTGAGTAAATTATTCAATGTTTAATTTTTGCCACACATGCAATGTCTCTCTCTCTCTCTCTCTCTCTCTCTCTCTCTCTCTCTCTCTCTCTCTCTCTCTCTCTCTCTCTCTCTCTCTCAATATATATGATGAATGAATGAATTGCCCATTAAACTAAAATCTATATCAACATGATCATATTTTTATTAAATAGGTTAATATTTTTGATATAACTGACAAACGTACAAAATAAAACCAAACTGACATTCATTCAGACAAGATTCAACTTTATAATGAAGGCAAATTTTGACGGAAAACACAGGGCAAGTTGTCACATTCGTTTAAAAAGTTACACATTATATTATATTTGATTTAGTAATTACATATTTATTTAATTTTATTAAACATTTGTTGGTCAAAACAATGGTGTGTTGCATTTTACATCTTTTCTTTTTATTTATTTATTTACTTTTAAATAAATGATATTTTGCTTGTGACAACTTTCCTCATACAGTGTGAGAACATGTGTTCCATGAACTATGTGTGATATATCTGTCAGATCGTGCAGTAACAGTAAGCAGATGCAGATGTGTCTGTGGGAAAAGTGTTGTCTGATAATATGTAAAAACAGCACCCTCTGCTGAAAACAGAAAGAATTGCCATTATCCTAATGAAGATTTTTTTTTTGGATTCCGTAAACAGGTGTGAGATGACCACGCTAAACTGCAAAATATTACTAAAACCAAAACAATCAAATTCTACATTTGCTTAGTTCAACTAACAAAATCTCTGAAATCCCTCAAAAAAGAATCAACACAATACTAAAGTCCACAGTAAGGAACATCAACAGGTGTCCATCTTACAGATGTGCTGAAACTACAGCATCAATATAGCTGAAGGTTTTCTATCAAGCAAGATAGGACATAATCACAGTATGTATATTCACCAATTATAATCAAATTATTATTTGAAAATCAATAACAGATAAGGCTAACACTGAAGAGCCTTACCAAAGACTGACATCAATATATGGTGCAATAGAAGATTCACTTATACATTTAAGTTAATATAATGATTAATAAGTCATCAATAAAATGAAATAAAATATAAAATAATAAAATAAAATACAAAATTAAAAAGTATTATTTTTAAATTAAAAATATAATATATAAAAAATAATAAAAAATTAAATTAAATTAAATTAAAAAAAAAAAATTAAATGACAGCGAGCAAAGAAACAACATTCGGATGGTTCAGGAACTGCTCACCTACCGTGCTGTAGTAATGAGGCAGGTCACCGACACACAGCATTGTCACGTTCCCGCTAGGCAGGCAAAAGACAGGGGAGATTCTCCCACTGGTCTGGTCATGTGACCTCACAGAATACACAGGTGAGTTCTGCACGTCTCACCTCTTCACTTTAGATGCTCTGAATGAAACTAACTTGACACAACAACTCCAGGAAAGGTAAACGCACTGCGAGTTGCTTTTTCTGATTTTCCGCCAGTTCTCCTTGCCCTGTCAGCTTCTAGATGCAGCCAACAACAAATCTTTGGCCCTCCCACTTTTTGGCCTCATGACTATTCATTACCTAAAAAAGCAGGCCTAGACTTGCCCACTTGTCTTTTAGACTATACCATTTTTTTTGCAAGGGGGATGGTTAGATAGCTTAGGCTTTCCATTTACAATTTTTGGGGGATATTTTTTTTAATTAATGGTGAAATTAACTACATCTTTTTAAATTGCTAGACCTCACAAAAGAGAGATAACCAACTGGTTAGAGCAATTTCCCATAAGGGCCAAGTGAAAAACAAACACTTGAAAATCAATACAATTTTGAAAATGCTTGTACAAGTCTAAAGCGAACAACCAAAGGAAATCCATATGCCCTAGAAGAGATATTTCACAGAATTCTGGAACCACTGATGCAGAAAACCGACACAAAACCAACGTACAAGATATAATGACTTCATCTCGCAAAAACATCATATTTCACCTAAAAAAAAAATATATATATATATATATATATATATATATATATGCCGGTATATATATAGCCTATATATAATGCTATTAATGCTAAGTACAATTACCATTTTTATGCATTACAACATTTTCATAACATTTTAAGCATATTTCCCCCATTCTCATTAAGATAATGTAAACAAATCTCATCTTATTGTATAATAATATTACTATATTATCAATTGAAAATATTTAAGTTCAAATAATGTTATATTTTGTAATGAAATATTTTATGTATTTGTTGTACTACTTTAATTTTTGCTGATTTAATTAAAATTATTGTATGATCAATCATTATACAGTAATAAGAATGAGATTCACAACTTAGAATAATGAAAATTCCACACAAAAAAAGACAAATGTTCGGTATGCATTAATATGGTAATGAGAACTGTGGGAAATGTGCATAATTGTCATATAATTAAAGTCACAACATCCTAAAATATGTGTTGTAAAAATATGGGTGCTAATATAGGGTTCCTTTTTTTATATATATTTTTCTTTCTTTTTTTGATTTTGAGGTGAAATGTGACCTTGTGAGATTTCGCCATCTATCCATCCATCTCTCCCGGCACGTGCGCCCCAGATGGGAGGCAGTAGCAGGTGTCGTGTTCCTGGCTTGGCTTTTCTCTCTAATTAAGGCATCACAGCCTCCCACTACACCCTCCACTCACATACTCTAGCCTGCAGAGCCCGAAGGGAGGGAAAAAACCGCGCAGGAGAGGGAAACTAGGGACTGAGGAGGGAATCCTGATGGATAAGGAGGGAAAACCAATAAAGTTCAGTATTACAGGCTGATGTTTTGTGTGTGTGTGTGTGTATGCGAGGTTGAAATGACTTTGCTATATTCTAACTAAAACTCTTCACTTCATTTTTGTGATTTTTTTACAACTATTATACTTTCAGTTTACACAGGAATTAGTTCATATTAATTCTATTTGCACAACTGCAAACAAGCCAAAAATCATGAGCAAAATACAATAAACAAACATAAACCACATCCTGTCAAGTTGGATTCACTTCTCTGACTGATTTTACTGAGAATGTATTGAATGTTTGAGAATCAATAGATTGCAGCTGTATTTGCTTGACACAAATCTGCACTCATAGAATTTTCCACCGGCTTCTTACCATGACATTGTCGTTCATGTCTCTCATGTGGTAGACGTCCATGCAGACTTCAGCGCGGTTGCTGGGCAGGCTGCTAGAAGCCCGGTCCCCTGAGTGTCCTGCCTGAGGAAGCTCAAAATATGTGCTGTCTGGCTCACTGTAACAAGACACAGAGACCGTACGGGAATCAAAACTGGATTATATAAGCAGGTCCAGTTTATATTAAAAGGCCATGTAAAAGATTTCCCATAGTGTATCTGTTTTTTTGTTTTTTTTTACCTGTAATTCAAAGAAAACAAATAGTAGTTTATCTCGAAATAGTACAAATGAATTGTTACTAGTATCCAAACGTGCTCCTGATATCACATACATTGAATGATAAATGTTACCAGACATATGACTAATGGATAGTCTGGGTTTGTTTCTGTTTTGGATGGGTTTGTCACGTGTTTTAGTTGTGTGTCCTAGTTTTCAGGGGTTTTTTTGTTTTGTTTTTATGGTTCGATTAATTTTTCGCACCTGTTTTGTTGATTGGTTTGTCTGTGTATTTAAAGTCCCCCTGTGGTGAAAATAAAGTTTTTAACGTTGTTTATATGTTTTTAATATGCTTTAAGACAAACCATGTGCAAAAAAAAACCCCACCATTGCTGAGTATTTTCTCCTTAAAACTCCAGTCAACCAAATACAGTCTCAAAAACGCAGTTTGAAATCGCCGGTGTTTCTTAAATCACAAACTAACTTGTAACCAATCAACGTCAACGTGCGGGTCGGGCTTCAGCATTTCATTACTATAACCGCTCTGAATCAGGGGAGTCTCAAGAGAAGACAGGTTTTATTTTTTTGTTGATATGAAAAATTGGGTACATTTAGCAATATAATGGGTGAATTATGCATGTGATGGATATTACGATGAACTATATTTTGAACTATATGCCTTTCTTCACTGACGTTCTGATTTTTAAAAGGCAGCTGTTTGACTCTGAGATGGCGAACACATGGTTTGTGTAACACTAGCAACACATTATTTGCTGTTTGATAACATAGTCAAGCAAATGCTAATCATATTAATTACCGTTATGTGTCCGACGTTGTAAAGAGCGATACCATTGTGCAGCGTTTACCTCAGTAAGTTGACAGAGCGAGTGGATCTCTGAGCTGGAGTGAGTGAGTGGAGGCGGGGCTAATTAGCATATTCATGGTTTTGCGTATACCAAATGAAGCAAGGGTGTAGTTACACACAAGCTATTTTAAGGCATGAAGAAATGTTTTTCACAGAAATGTCATTTTGTCATCAAAGATGAGTTTTAAGGGATACAATATTGACTACAGGGGGACTTTAAGCTCTGGGTTTCTTTCTGATCGTTGTCTGCTCTTCGTCATGTTTTAATCGGTTATTGCTTTTCAAGTGTTATGAGTATTTTGTTTTGAGTTTCGCAACCGAAAGCTTGCAATGTTACTTTTAAAAGTAAAAGTAATGCATTACAATATTGAGTTACTCCCTAAAAAGTTACTTTTTATGGAAAGTAATGTGTTGCGCTACTTTTTCTCACCTGGGCTGGGCTTGCTTGTTTATTTTTTAATGACAAACAGAAGTTCTATTTTTGGAAAATGTAAGGAAATGCAAATCCACGCCTGTACAGCTCAAACAAACCTTTCAGCTGTGCTGCCATTCTGGATTGCAGAAGAATAGGACGCAGGAGAAGAAAGTTCAACACTCTTACTTCAGCAATAAAAACAAAATGAAACACAAATGTGATGTTTAAGTTTAAGTCATTTTGCTTATTAGTATGGTTGAGTTGGATCATCAAAGGTCAGCAGCAAAGACATTGGTTAATAAAGTGAGATTAAATACATAAAGTATATTTGTGTGATTTAACATTTTTAATTATTACAGGTTTGCATAATCTTCTGAGTTTGCATTTCACTGTTTTTATTCAATTTGAGGAATACTGAATCTGTTTTTGTGCAAGATGAGTAAATGCATGCTCACATTGCATTGGGACAGGAGAAGTGTCTGTCAATAAATGGGAAAACAAAGTAACTTGCGTTATACTTATTTGAAAAAGTAGCTCAGATATATATATATTGTAAATTTAAACGTAATGCGTTACTTTAGTTACTTGAAAAAAGTCATCTGATTAAGTAGCTTACATTATTTGTAATATGTATCCCCCCAACACTGCATATGACAACACAACAAAAATGCATGTAACTGCTGGTTAAACTCACAGGGTACTCCACAAATGTTCAAAGGTTGTACCCTCATCAGCGGTGGATGACTGGGACATTTTGGATGTTGAACAATCCACCGCAGGGCAGATCACACTGGAAACCACATACCAAACAAGGGTTACAAGCATGCATAAAATAAAAGCATCCGTAACAAACAAAATCATCAGTAAAATAACCTGTTGCAGTCAGTTACAGTATACATGCAAATAAAACGAGCTAAATATGCAATATAGCGCACATGGACTTCTATAGTACACAGAACAAATTGGAATTAACTGGTTTTATTTAAGTAAAAAATATTATTTAATATTGCTGAATCAACTTAAATTCATTAAGTTAAACCAAGAAAACAAATTAAACAGCTTTTAAGGTAACAAATTCTGCAGGTTACACAAAATTTTACAGTGAAGTACATTTTTGTCTGGACAGGATCTTGACTGAATGAATCACCATCCACTGTATTGTATGGGGGAAAAACATCTTGTTACATGAAAAAAAGGAGGTTTGAAATGGCATGAGGGTGAATAAATTATTACAGAATCTTGATTGAAATTGGTCTGAATACTCTAAAAAAAAGGTTAATTCAAATGTTTAACATTTGAAATTATTACACATAAAAAAAAAAAAGTATAGTTCTCCCAATTATATTTAATATCACAATCGTTATGCATTAATGGACCCAGTCATTTTATAATGGACCCTGATTAAAGGAGCACACTATAACTGCTCTGAACTCATGCTCTGTAAAATAAATGAATCACTAAAGTGTGTAGAAATTGAACACACACAGGATTCGATTTTAAAGTCATTTCCACCCTGCTGCCCAATGCATCGTCTGAAGTTTGAATCCCAGCAGAATTTGAGGCTGGATGCACAGATTCAGAATAAAGATGCCAGGCTTGACGTGTCCAAACCTGCCTGGCACTGTTCCACAGTGACCACATACTTCCTCCATCATATTACTCACAGGAAATGAGGGCTAGAAGAGCGTATACTAACCACACAAGAGCAAGTCAACACAGAAAGTGAGTCTGTTGCAGTTTTGGACCATCAAAACTGTAACATGTAACACACCCAATAGAAAAATATCAAATTGCATAGACAACGAAGATCAGTGGTTATAGTTTATGCCATTTAATTAGCAATATATTGGTCATGATTTTTGCAATCAAATTATTTTATAGCCTAATACTAGCCTACCGCATTAGCCTAATACTTTTTTTTTAGAAAAAGAAAAGAGAAAGAGATAAAGGACCCAAATAACCATATTAAACACCCATAAATATTTATTATTGCAAAAATAATTATTTTAAACATGATTAATTTCACACATATTTATGTAAATTAGATAAATTTGAAGATGACAATCACAATGCTAGTCTTCTTTGATACATTGTTGTTTCCACATAGGTTTAAACTGAAAAAAAATATATATCATTTTTCATAGGAACAAAGCAATCAATAAAAGGCCTTTTTTTTTTTTTTTTTACTTCAGTGAATATTTCTCATTTATATTTAAAATTCAATTTCAGTATGGGCTAAAAAAGGGACTGAAGATTCCCAAAATTTTAGTCTAGGAAAAAAAAATTGTTGTAAATAAAGTATAAGCTTAGTTTATTAAACACACTTTGACTTTGAACCTGGCATTAAACAACCTATAGGTTCTTTAGCAAAATCTCAATAGTAAAATAACTGTTAAACACACACACAAAAAAATGTGCAATTAAACTTAGCCTAATCAATTGGATACATTTATAGCATGTATGTATATAAAATAACAAATAGGCCTACTTTTGTTGTGAGAAAAAGGTTTAGCATTTTAGTTAAATAAGCCTAGTACTGACTCTGTGGTTTTTGATTTTGTTCACTTGTTATAGCTACAAAACAAAAAGATGATATTATAATTGTAATTTAAATCAAACAAATAATTTTAAGAGATTTTAGAAAGGTTTTCGAAACGTTCTGCTAGAGAACACATTTATTTTTTACGCAAGATATTACTGAGATAATTCTTGTGACAACTAGCCCGGTCTCCTCTTAATTTAAAAAGAATAGAGGTAACGTTACCTAAATCTAAATGTGCTCATTTAAAAATAATAATAAAAAAGAAAAGAAAAAGAAAAGAAAACGCTTTCAATTAAGTTGCATCAGGCATGTTTTGCTGTGTTGCTCAACGCGCTGTTCCCTCGGTAACGGCGCGTGCAAAAGACGGCCTATTGGAAAAGTGCATAAGCCAAATTAAGCTTTACTCAAACAAACTCGTTTAAAAATAAAAAGGACCTCATAAAACCATCTTTTGTCCTATTATGCTTTTTCGGCGAGGATTTTAATCCACTCTCCCTAATTTCGGATGTAGGCTAACTAACTTTCAACAAATCAATAAATGACACTGTTCTCATTAGCAGGCTAAAAGCAAAAACAAAATAGTTTTTAAATAAATAAATAAAACGAATTGAAATGAGTGGAGGTTTTCGTTTACAAGTCCGAACTCTGTAGTTTTACGAACGAGGCAACATCGTGTTTACTAATTTTGACCTGTATTCCCGTGGTAGCTGCCACCTGGAGAGGAGTTAAAGCTCTGCCAGCAATTATACACACACAACAGGGATTCAAGCAGAGAATTGAATTATCACTTAACAAAGGCCTTGTATTTTAGAACTGATGAAGCTGTATCTTACCGATGTTCATACCGAACAGCCCCCCAAAAAATTATCAGCCATAGTCAGCACACTAGAAGTAGCTTATACTTCACCGGTTAATGCGTCATGGACCAAAAGTGGAAAATTCTTCCTTTGTACCGTTTAATTTCAGGCCGGATTTTAAAATATAGCATATATTAAAACAGAATAGCCTAAAAGGCATAGGACATTTTCCGAAAATATTCATAAAGACAGCAAACTCCTTCGAGCGACCATTACTCTATTCAGCGCAGTAGCAGCTATCTGGACTAATACAGCAGCAGCAGCCTTGACAACGAATTACACAAAAGCCGTCACACATCACCTGCCTTCACTTTACCTCTTGCATTACACTGCTTGCTGTTTAATTAAAATCGATGAAATTATATATAAACTCTAAAAAAAAATGCAGAGTTGTTTTATGTCATATATGGAAAAACCCAACGGTTGGGTTTAAAATGTAGCCTAATTCAAATAAAAATTAAACCAACGGTCAGGTTTGTCCATATTTGACTCAAACATTGGGTTGAAACAACCCAGCATTTTTTTATATTAACATTTGGTATTTTTAATGTATTTATTTCATTTTATTTGCCGTCTATAGGCCTATTGTTTGAAAATAATGTGTCAATATATTTGACCCAACCCTGGGTTGAAACACCCAGCATTTTTTAATTAATATTGGTCTTTTAATGTATTTATTTAATTTTATTTCCCGTCTATATATAGGCCATTGTTTGGAAATAATATTTAATATTATTTGTCCATATTTGACCCAACCATGGGGTGAAACAACCCAGCATTTTTAAAGTGCATATATAATATAATATAATATAATATAATATAACATAACATAATATATCTATAAAACTAAGCTAGTATAGGCTAGATAAACAGAAACAGATAACAGTGGCTTGTGAAAAACAAAACATAATCGCTCTCAACAGAAATTCATGTTTCAAGCAGGTAGGTCTACTGTAATATGTTGACAGACATTTATCATAGTGAACTCTGACCACTGCATCACCTTTGTAGGACACTCATCGATTTTTCTAACTGATAGACAAAAAGGAACAAATTAAATCGCCACAGTACACTTATTGTTTTGTGTTTTTATAGTTAAAAAATAATTAAATTAGGTTAACGTTACATAATTTGACAAATAAATCGATCAATGGAGTGATTTAAACATATTTATAAATTTTAGCATTATATATAACGTTAAAGAATTAGAATGCTACTTTTTAACACAAATCTTGTCAATAAGAAGCTATAGAAGTGGATGATGAAAACATGAGGAGATCTTATGTTCACTTAAAGTGGGTGGGTTTAAATGCTCACCTTCAGAAATGCGAGAGCTCAATACTTCCCATACGACACGAAGCGTTCAAACGAACCACAAATACTATATTTATAATAGATTTACTTACCAAACAAGTTATTTCCCTGGCTTGGAACAAACTGTGGCGATGTTCTTTCTCTGGATCCCCAAATCACTTTCCTTGACCTGCAGCTGACCCTTGTAAACTGTCACCCTTGTCATGTAGCAAATGAGCTCCGAATTAAGCCATTGAACAACAGAACGCAACTTGAATCATTCCTTATAGTTAAAAAAAGCAAGACAAGAGAGAGAGGCAGATGAGGCTGATTATGCAGGTATAGCCTATAGGGTAAATAGGCTCGCGGAGTGTGAGTGCACTTGGCTGTGGAGGGTTGGGTTGGGTTGGGGGAATTGGAGGGGGACGGGAGGAGGCGTTAGCCGCCTTTTGGGCTCACATGAGCGGGAAACACTCATATCATATGAAGAGGTCGCTAAAATGCGATTAAAGCTTGACGTTTCATTCGCACTTAAAGATGTGTGCTTATGATGCGTCAGTCTTGTAGAAAGACTTCAACTGTCCCTAACAAAATCGTAGAAAACGACGATTTAAATTCCCCGCCTCTCCTGACAGCATAAATAAACACGATTTAGCATTTGCTTTGAAATGCATACGGCAATGATTAAGTCGTTCAAAACAAACAAGTCATAAAACTACTCAGTAAACCATATTTATTGTTAATTCTAGTGCATACTAGAAAATAGACAAGGTGAAACACCATTTCCCACAATTCCACTGTTACGCCTACAATAAAGCGCGGCGCTGATTGGCCGTCAGCACAACAAAAATGACGTTTTCGAAAACGTCACTTCCGAAACATTAAGGGATTCGGTTGAGACCTCTTTAGCGCTCCTCCTTGGCTGAGACAGTTGATTCTCATGAGTGTCTTTTTGTTTTTATCCTGCACAGGTCTTTAATAACTGACCAATAAACTCTTCGGATCAGTACTTACAATACTCTGAAAGGTAAATTGTTAAAACGCACATAACGAGTCTTCTGTTAACTTAGACGTTAGACGTGTAACCAGTGTTTAACTTTAGTGAGCAAACTGATACGGAGCCGTTAACGTTTCCCAAGCCTGACAAAAGATAATGAATGGATGATTATGCTAGTCGTTTCCAAATATCTAACATCATTACAAAGTAATCAATATATTCATATCGGTAGTAAACTCAGGATTTGTCATGATCGAAAAGTAAGAATAGGTTTTGTCTTAAATATTTAAAGCACAACCTTCCTACCAGCTTACGTTACCTGGGTGAATCTCATGAATTACTATAAGTTAGCCGTTGTTGTGCCGAATTATCAATACATAGCCTATATTTAGCACAACGCAAAATGTTTTTACATTAAGATTTGTTTTTCATTGTGACATTTTCATGTGCCCACCCCCCTATTATTAATAAAAATAGAATTTGCAGTACTGTACCGTGAAAAAAAAAAAACATTATAGTATTTATGCATAATGGTATTATTTGTAGTACATTTAAAATATGTAGATTTACTGCCTTTCTGTTGATTTATTGTGATTACTGATTATAATAAAATGTCTGTCTGGACAGATGATTGATGTTAGATTTAGTTTAGTAATGAGAATCTGATAAGAATCAATCACCATTGGGAGTAATGATAATTGCAAATAAAAGTAAAAACTACATCTTAAAATCTTAATGTTCTCTAAATAGTTTTTTTTTTTTACTAAATGTATTATGTTTACTTTATTTGATTTGATTTTTGGTGAAGAATGAGGTCTTTTTCACTAGGTTTTTGGCACAGTCTTTGTGTCTCTTTGTGCAAACTTAACATTTGGGTAGTATGTTACTGGCAGCATTTTAAAGTATGCAACAACACAGTAGTCAATATATTTATATTTAATTCATAGTTATATTTTCATATTTGTATTTCCAGTCACAGAGTAATCAATAATTTATTGTTGTTTCCAATAGCATGAATTTCTCAGAGGTCTTCAAGCAATCCAATCAATTGTGCAAAGTTTCTCCTGATGGGAAATATTTGGTAAAGTTGTTTTTCTTACAGCCGTCAACATTATCAGATGATACATCGAAAATGATGACTATGATCAGAATAGTATACCAGTGGTATACTATTCTGATCATAGTCTATACTGATCTTACTGTTTCTTGTTAATCACCACATTTAATTTGGGCTTGTAGGCCACCTGTGTTCAGTACCGCCTGGTGGTGCGTGATATCAACACCCTTCAGATCGTGCACCTGTACACGTGCCTGGACCAAGTGATGCACATGGAGTGGTCCTCTGACTCCCTCTTCATCCTTTGTGCCATGTACAAAAGAGGACTCGTGCAGGTATGTCAAGTTGCCCATTGCATTTATTGATGCACTTTTACCTCTACTTTTCAGTCTGGGTATGTTCAGTCTTTAAGTAATATCACACCTCTCCTAGAGCTGCACGATTCAGGATAAATTGAGAATCAAAATTTTGTTTAGTTTAAAATAGAGATCACGATTCTGAATAGACAACTCTATGAAATTACATGTCATTTACTAGAGGTTCTGACAAAATGTTAATTGCTGCAGTCTATTTAAAATGTTTAATGAATTTGAATTAATTCTTTTTTTTAAATCGGTTTGAGTGAATGATTCAATGTCTCACTCATAAAGACTTCATTTGTTTCATTTCATTACCGGATGAATCAGTTGCTGTGTCCGAAATCACCCCTTTATACCCTTAAATAGGGCACTATTTGAGGGGACGGCCATTTGTATTTGTGTCCAAACCATAGTGGACGTTTAGGCGTTTGGATTAGGACGCAAGGCACGTCCTAATCCAATGTTAGTTTCACTTCCTGAGATACCTTAATCTGATAGATTTTTGATAGACCAAACCGCTGGTCCAATGTGGATACAGCATAATATCAATCATATATACATTCCTTTTTAATTGATTATTAAATTGTTTAATTAAGGTTTATACATGCTAGTTTCCATGACTGAGTTCTAGATACATACTGGAGCTGCCAGTTTGCTAAGTTTCAAATGATTATTAAGCAGCAAGCACATACAAATGCGGCATCTCTTCTGGTGATAATTATTCAGGGAATAGGCGGGCGATTTCAAACATAGCTAGTGTATTTGAACGAATCTCTTGAATGAATGATTCGATGACATGCATTTTAAACAGTCACTTGTCTCCACCTACTGGCGTATTTGAAGCATCTAGTTTCTTTCAAAAGGTATTTACTCTATGTTGATACCGCTACCGTGTTTATATCCGAACGGTAAACTTTTATCCTAGTACTTATGTGATAATTTGAATTATTGTAGCACAGAAATAATAAATGCAGATTTGAATGTTCGCTGTGTTCATACTTGTAAAGGTTCAATTTTGTTGTCATTTAGAAATAACATCGCGTATGTGTTTGAATCGAGATCACAGTTTTTAAACAAGACACATGATTTGAGGTCTCATTCACGTCTGGAGCACAAATGGTACGGGCTAGACAGCAATTTTAAAACTTAGGGTTTCAAATAACCCATGCTTCAGCCTAAGAATTCCTCTAATAACTTTTAAATATTAGGTTATAATGTTAATTTTCACTTTTTCAACAATCAGATCAAATTTCCTCTATAGTTTAATTTACATACTAAATTACCTTACCTTTGTAAAGGAAGCCAGCGCCAGTCCTTCATGTTGAGCTATTCAACAAGGCAACAGGACTCAAATATGTTTGTTAGTGAAGGGCCTTTGTGTTTCTCTCTATTCCCTCTCAGGTTTGGTCTCTAGAGCAGCCGGATTGGCATTGTAAGATAGACGAGGGTTCGATTGGACTAGTCTCGTCACGCTGGAGTCCTGACGGGCGACACATACTCAACACCACTGAGTTCAATGTAAGTATGGCGGTAGGAGGAGTCCGTTCTGAACCGTGTCAACTGTTGCTGCCCATAAAGGAAGACCTGAAAATAACAGACAGTCCATGGACTGAGTTCAACTCTGTTGGTTAATTCTGTGAGGTGACAGTCAGAATACAATGTTCTTATGATCTGGTTAATAATGCAAAACCGGAGAAGCAAAATACAAAAAGAACAAAAAAATTATACCACTGTATTTTGGACCAATAGACAAATACCATGGTATTTTTTGTTATTGTTTCTATCTACATAAATTAAAAATGGCCGTGTTCACTATTGTTAAAAAATTTGGGGTTGGTAAGATTAAAGAAGTCTGCATTAATTTGATAAAAAACAAAACAAAAAACAGTAATATTGTGAAACATTATTACAATTTAAAATAACTGTTTTCTATTTGAATATATTTTAAATCATAATTAATTCTTGAGATGAAAATTCAGCTTTAAGGTCCTTGCACACTGAGTCCGAAATTTTTGTATTCGTCATTCGGTGGCTTTGAATTGTCAAAACACTTCTCAAAATTCTTGCTACGGATGCGGAAAATGCAGAAAATCGAACCCGATCCAAAAGTTTTTAGAACGTACGAAAGTTTCGGGGACAGTGTGTAAATGTGATTGACACAACAAGAGGTCGTTTTTAATTTATAACGTGCGAAAATTTCGAACTCAGTGTGCAAGGACCTTTACAGTTACTCTAGTCTTGTCAAATGATCTTTCAAAAATCATTTTAATATAGTTTTTTGGTGCTCAAGATAGAAACATTTCTTCTCATTATCAATGTTGAAAACAGTTGTGCTGCTTAATAATTTTATGGAGAATTATTATTATTTTTTTTTAAACACAAAAAAAATTCAGGATACTTGATGAATAGAAATTCCCCCCCAAAAAACTAAATATTTCAATTTTTGAAATATAAATATTTGTAACATAAATGTCTTAGCTGTCGCTTATGATCAATTTAATTAGGGCTGGGTATTGACACAAATTGCACAATTCGATTCGATTTCGATTCACAAGCTTGCAATTCGATTCGATTTCGATTCAATATTGATTATTTTGGATATCAGGTACAATACATGGCAAATTTTCTCAAGGAAAACAAATCTCTTAACTAAATAATGCTGTGTATACTATGGGAGTCAGTTGTAGCCTACTAGGCTTCATTGCCTACTATAATATTGAAGGTAAAAATTAACTGATTTGTAGCTATACAAACACTTAAATTACACTTTTATTTATTTTTATAATAATAAAGTTATATGAAATATAAACATTTAAATGGTGGCTGTCATAAAAACTTGCCAGATTTATTCAA